TCCAATACAAGGAGGTAAACTTTTTATTTTTTTAAACATGTCCGAAATTCTAAGGCTGGAAAGGCTAGTTCTCTCTCCCTGTCATTGCCCAGAACACTGCTCAAAACATTCCCTAGAATCAGCCCACATAAAGGTTGCCTGCAGAGGAATCATTGGAGTTTGGGAGCCTGGGTCTAAATTTTCTTGCCTAATATACTTTTTTCCCCTTATGTGTCAATAAAATGAAACACCACAGCCACCAGGTGTTTGCCTTCATGCTCTCTCTCTTTAATTGAAACATTGTACAGAGCCCTGTACACAGCAGGTAAGAAGAAAGAGAAAGACAGGGAGGTGGTGTCTGACTCAATATAAATTTCAGCTTGAGCTATTGAGCCCTGTAGACAGCAAACGTTTTTCATTCAAGCCTATAAGGATAGCGTTAAGAAAAATAATTCTAATGCTCCCCTTGTCTACAAATAAGAATACAGAATACTAAAAAGCAAAAGTTCATATTTATCTGACTAAAAAAAAAGTTTCTTTTTTGTAATTCTGACCATAATAAATGAAGAAACTATACATGAAACCACTACACATTCCCTGGAATCTGCTGTGCTATCTAAGTATGTTGGCTGATGGAAGCTGGATTACCATCTTGTACTTTCCTACCCCGATGACATAACCCCTTGTTCTTGTACGATCCCCATTCACCAAATTTCAAACAGCACAATTCTATTTCAATCTAATATTATTTATTGTATATCAGCGCTCATATAAATTCCTAGCCTCCATAAAACTCCCAGAAAACATCTTTGATTTATAGATCCTAAAATCAGAAACAAATGAATATTTGTATTTTTTCTTCTCTTTCATATACAATGAAATTAGTAAATATCTAAGCAGATTGAAATGTGCGTGGCGTATAGTACAACTCCCCGAGGACCCATGAAGTCTGCTGCTATTCATAGCCCCCATCTAGAGGGAGCGTTTTATAGAAGACGCGGAGCAATCATTCCAGCGGCCTTACACAATAGGATATTATATTCTTTTCGTGTGTATGCGTGTTTTTTTTTTTTCTGAAGTTATTTGCGTTAAATAAATAAAATGAGATGACAGATTTGAAAGTAATGTATCCTGAACAGAGGGCCAACGACTGCAGCTGCACAGCACCAGACATCCCCATATTCCTGTGGCGGCTCCGCGTGGAACTTAATGGTGTATTATATTTTCATTGCAACACACTGAAGGTTAACAAGTGTTTCTTTTAAAAAGAACTCCACTAAGTAGCGTTTGTATATAAAAATAACCATGTATGATGATTCTAGAATATCTGCAGTCCTTTCTGAGAAAACATTTTAGGGGACCCCCATGTCACTGTCAAAAATTGGGAATGTTTGAAAGTGAAATTAAAGTCTAAAGGATTTTCAGCTATTTCAAATGCAATCACTTACAATGAATGCTGCTCCTTGATGTTTAAGGGCCAGTTCACACCACAAAGTCCGCGTTCCAGTGCGTTCGGCCTCTGGAACACACTGGAACGCAAGCGTTCAGGGGCGGGAGGGGGCGTGGCGGTGCATCGAAGTCAATGGCACCGCAGCCACGCCCCTCTCTCGCAGTGCGATTGCCCGCACCCGGAACTCAGGCACATTAGTGCTTGCGTTCCGGTCCAGTGCGGTCTGCAAAAATACTGCAAGCACTGTTTTTGCAGATCGTACTGGACCGGACCGCAAGCACATACGTTCTGGGTGCGGGCGATCGCACTGCGGGCAGGGGGCGTGGCTGCGGTGCCATTGACTTCAATGCACCGCCACGCCCCTTCCTGCCCCTGAATGCAGGGAGCCAGCAGGCTTGTGTTCCAGAGGCCGAACGCACTGGAACGCAGACTTTGTGGTGTAAACCGGCCCATAAGGTTTCAGTTTCCTGCAGAATCAAAAACAAGTCTGGCGTGTTCCTCTCTTCCTGCGCTACAGAGCAGCACATCTTTGCCCATTATCATAATTTTTCTCCTTGGATTTATGCATCTTAGGTTGGTACACAGTGCGCTTGTAGTTTTTTCCTAGTTTAGTGTATCCTTTCCTATGGTGCTACCCTTGTGTGTGCTAGTAAGCGGTGTGTCTCCACAAACACAAAGGAACACCAAGGCAAGCCACTACCCCGATCCTGCATCTGCTTCCTCCGTTCTCCAAGCCAGTAGATGGACAGATGCTGTAGAATGAGCTCTCTCTTGTGAACTTGTACTGGACAGGAAGTTCAAGGAAGCTGAGCTGAGACAGTTGGAGCTGTTTGGAAAAATGATGACTGTAAGTGCTTGGGCAAAAATTTGAAGAAACACTCATCTGGATAAGGTATATTTTTTGGTCTGGATTTATTATGGAAAGAAATGTTTGAGAGTTTAATACTACCAGTGGTATAGCAATCGCTATAGTGACCCAGGTGGCCGCTATGGGGCCCAGCCAGGACATCCCCCTGATGCCGTGTGGGCTGCCTGGGTCGCTATGGCATCTCAGGCTGCAGGCAGTCACTGGCCAGTGACCTGTGCAGCGGCGCGTTCCTCCTCACAGCCACTGCCATGTCAGTGACAACCAGCAGCTGAGGAGGAGGGTGCTGGGTCCGGCGTCGGCAGTGGAGTAAGCGTAAGAGGAGGCAGGCCCGGTGATGGAAGAGAAGACAGGGCCTGGTTTTTTATCAAAAGTTCCAACTTGTTGACCTCTCCAACTGGTCACGTAACATCTGGTGACTGCCAGTAGGAGATCTACACCACTGACGAGGTGGAAGAGGAGGCGGGGCCCGGCGGTGGAGTAAGCTGGCTGCGGATCAGGGCCGACAGGTAAGAGGTGTGCAGGGGTGTGAACAGCCCACCTGAGACCCTGCAGAGCCCACCATAGAGTCTATGGTGGGCTCTGCAGGGTCACTCTCAGGTGAGCTGTGTGGGATCTCAGGTGGGCTCTGCAAAGGGTGTAACTAGAAATCACAGGGCCCCATACAGAATTTTGCTATGGGGCCCTGTCATTTCTAGTTATGCCCCTGAATACTACTTGTTATGTTACTGCTCCTCTGTCTCTAACAATCACAGGTCTGAACCAGAAAAAAAGCATAATATTTGAGCTTTTATTGTAATATTTACCTGAAAGCCTTTATGGGCAAATCTGCTCGTCTGTGTTTTGAGTAGTCTTTAAAATAAAGCAATTATGTGGTTAAAACTTAAGGCAGACAAAGCCCAAAGACTGACTCTCTGCAGTTGCCTCCCCTTTTCCTTTGCAGGCCCCCCTGAGTATATTTAATGCTTTATTTATTATATACTATTCTTTAGATATCTTTAGGTTGGTCATGTGATCTGCGGGGTCTTTTTTTCGCCTGTGGTCGTTAGTCCTCAATGATGCAGAGCGGTACTGACGAGCTTCACTATGCATCATTACACTGTGAGTGCAGAGACACCCCTCAGGGGAATGCCCTGCACTCACAGGATGTCCTCAGTCCGGGTAGTCATTCAACTCAAACAACTGAGGACATCTAGTGGCAGAAAAGACGTATTGCAGGGAAGAGCGCAGGAGAGGAGGTAAAGATTTTCAGGGTTATTCACTAAAGGGTGAAGAGTTTGTAGAAGGCAGGAGAAGTGAACAATCTAGGACAACATAGTTGAACTGGAAAGTGAGATGAATTGGAGAATTTTTCCAGATCAGCTATGTTGTCCTAGATTGTTCACTTCTCCTGCCTTCTCCAAACTCTTCACCCTTTAGTGAATAACCCTGTTTATATTTAAGCCAGCCCGGGGACTAGTAGTAGTCACATTCAACTGGACTTGTTCTGTAATGCTGAAGACGTTTCAAAGCTTGTTCAAGGTGCTTCTCCAGTTCTAATGAGCGTCAGGAACATACTTCAGCAATTATAGCCACCAGGGTAACTCAGTCACATTATCCAGTCACCATAAAATATATCAAGTTGGCCATTGATTATCCAATAACAGGATGATAGGTGTGAAAGTTTGTGGAAACACCCTGTTCCAGTTACAGAATCCAATCCCAAACTCCATGGGGAAAGGGTGACCCATCATTTGGCCGTGTGATGACCATACCACTTGGAAGGAGAATTCAGGTGAGCATATCTCATCTCTGGCCGGTAATAAAGTATATTTTACTTCTTGGAGATAAATGAAGCCAGAATGATCTTTAGCCTGCAGACAACCACACATATGAAATAATCCATTGTTAGACGCAGTCGGTCCTTCTGTAGTGTAGAAAGCCCTTAGAATCTGTAACAGGACACGACTGCTTAGGAAGGCACAACCACAACCACCAAGCAAGCAAATAAAAAATAGCCTTTAATTTTAATTCCGGTACATTACAGCTTTTCCAGCACCTGAGATAAAGAAGAAAAAAATAATAATTCTGGTGCAATCGGTGTCTTTCTTTAATGCTAAGAATACAACTTACATTTTAAGCCTCAAATATAAATTTAAAAAGGGATATGATTAATATCTTCTATATTTTTAGTTACCTTTACAGTTTTTATTTTAATTTCCTGTGTTTGAGTTGATTTTGGGGGGCATTTTGTACTGGGCTGGGCCCTGCCCCTCCCAGCTCTTACGTAAACAAAAAAAATGTCTTGCTCCCTCAGCACGGATCATGTGAATAATGCTTTAACAGTTGGTCACATGACCGGTGCCCGAGCACCCCTTCTATCATGTGTGAATACAAAGATAGATGGGGTGGGCGTTTACAGCATAGATCTACTTAAATGAGGTAATATTATAAAAATTGTTATAGTTAGCCACATTGGGGTGTGTGTGTGTGTGTGTGTTGATGTCCCTTCAAGTTGATAAAGGTATAGCAATGACAACAATTATCAGTGACTGTTTGACATTTCTGGCTTGCCAAGGTAAAACATCATTAACCTTAAACCGATAGCAGCTCTGTGATTCTACTTTATCCACTCCTGAAGAAATCTATAGCCCACCATGTAGTAATGAAAATACACAATTTCAGACCTTTCAGAGAGAGAGAGAGAGAGAAACATAATTGGTTTGGGGAATGACTATATCGAAGAAATTTAGATTCCATAAGAAGTCCGGATTGTTAGCGTTTCGGTACAATCAAGTTCCTTATCATGTCGAAAGAGTTTCCATCAGGGTGGACAGTGATGACGTCTTTTCCTTCTTGAAGGACCTGGAGAAAACCAGAGTCGTCTAAGCCAACGATCCAAGCTAACGGGCCGTCTTCACCACCGAGCCGAACCTGCTGCCCACTGCAACGCACAAATAAATGTCACTGAGGACAATAATACAATACTATGTGTACTATGACATTCACAAAATGTAGAGAATAAGGGACCCAAATCCTTCAGTGCTGCAAATTCCAATCTACAAATGTAGTCTGTAGTAAAGAAAGTAGGCAGCACCTAGATCGAGAGTCCGTCATAAACAAACGCAAAAGTAGAAAGAAAAAAAAAAAAGACGAATGCTACAAGCAGATTTTCAATAGTAAAGTAGAACTGTTGAAAGAAAAACTGCAGCCAGTGGTGTCCCGTCTTGTTTGTGATTCCTAGAATTGGTTACATTTATACATACTGGCAAACGTGTCCCCTGTTCCAAAAGGTTGGGGATAGAACAGAAAATGTTAAATATGTGTTTTGTTGGGCAGTATGTACAGAAGTGTGGAAGGAATGTCTGAGGCACTATGTGCAGGAGAGGAGTATGGAAGGTATGTCTGAGGCACTATGTGCAGGAGAGGAGTATGGAAGGTATGTCTGAGGCACTATGTGCAGGAGAGGAGTATGGAGGGTATGTCTGTGGCACTATGTGCAGGAGAGGAGTATGGAAGGTATGTCTGTGGCACTATGTGCAGGAGAGGAATATGGAAGGTATGTCTGTGGCACTATGTGCAGGAGAGGAGTATGGAGGGTATGTCTGAGGCACTATGTGCAGGAGAGTAATATGGAGGGTATGTCTGAGGCACTATGTGCAGGAGAGGAGCGCAGAGGGTATGACAGCAGGCAGTATGTGCATCAGAGGAGTAGGAAGGGAATGGCAGCAGGCAGTATGTGCAGATAAAGAGTGTAGAGGGTACGATGGTAGGCAGTATGTGCAGGAGTTGAAAGGAGCTTTCCCAACCCACAGGAGCCATTTAAAGCCCATTGCAAACTAATAAACACTAACAACTTCTTAACTTTTGCCTTGCATTAGGCATTTACAGCTTGCTTCTAGTTACATTCCTTTACATTTGATGCCCATCTGAGACATTGCTGAGCTCATTTAGAGTTACAGGAGTGTTTGACCTGCAACTGATCTCCTTCTGATCTGCAGTTGACCTTGTAAGCTGCACCAATGAGCATTGAGCTGTTTTTGCATTGCTATTGGCTTGTATAGGGGGAACAGCAGTTCTAAAAAGCCAAAAGCCCATCCACACAGGTCCCTTTTAACATGGTTGCAGTGCTTTCTGGACAGCATTTAAAGCTCAGTTACTTGGAGTTGCGCATCACCTGGTGATGTGACTGTACATTACATACATGTTTTGTGTACCCATCATTTGCTGACAAAGTCTTTATCTTGATGATGGATGCAAGAAATATCAAGGACACATTCATAATTCAAAACAAGCAATCCCAGACTTTCTACCATACAGAGTCTTTGATAACTTATCTGGATGTTTTGTTACCAGTTTCCAACACTTAAGGTCCACATTGAGACCCGGGCCCTGAACAATGACAAAGCCACGTACCTGTGTACCCAGTATTTGTAGTACATAGGCAGGATGCCACTTGGTCCAATCAATTGAAATGTATTAATGAGGGCCTCCAGAGCAGTCACAGACCGAGCTATCAGTGTATCCACCCTGAGAGGTTCAATACTTGTTTTATAGCGCTTGTTGTGTTCTGAGATGAGATCGTTGATACAGATTGTCGGGTTGCTGTTGCTGACGTTGAACCCACAGCCTGAAAGGAGATTGGATTGTTAGTACATGGACTTATAGCAACAGAAAAGTCTGACTCTCCTACTACTTATGGACTTGTAAGCTAAAAGACCAACTCAGACTGAAAAAAATGGTCAGTCATACATACAAAGGGTGGTTTTAAGTCTGTATTTCCAACTCTCATTTTCAGTTACCACTTCCTATTCAATAAAAAAAAAAACTAATTCTAGGTCCAGCTAACCACAGGGATCAAACTTGAAACATAGTGGATTTTCTTACAATGGGTTACATTGGAATAGAGCAAGGGATAGAAACAACCAAGCTTCATCCAAAGAAACCAACATCACCATTAGGATCTCAAGATCACCCCTGACCAGGTGACAACATCCACCAGTGGGTTACCTTTTTGCTCAGAGTTTCAAAATTCAAATGTGTCGTCAATGCTGACTTGATGATCGGTGATACAAATAGACCCTGACCCAGGGCATGGAAAGGGGTCACCAGTGTTGTTTAAAAAGTAAACAATTGAGAACGTTTCTAAAAAGAATTGGGGTGATTGAGATTATGTTGAGTCTTGAACAAACATAATCACCATATAATATTGGAATTCTCTCCATCATTCCTTCCATAACGTGAATCTTGGACCTAGAGGGAGAAACACACTGACATAGGGGTTGATTTAACAAAGCCTTGGTGTCCAACTTGCGACCCTTTGGTATTTGCTGTACAGACCTCAGCTCCCAGCAGTCAATAGTGAGAGTGAGAGCACTGATTTGTTAAGGTAATAGGAGTGATCTCTACTAGCCTCATGTAATACCCCTCTGGAGCATGTCTCCAGTCTCCAACATACATGTATCATGTACACCGTCTCTGACCATTATTTCCTGTAGTATGTCTGCAGTCTCTGACAATCCCCTCTAGCATTACTGCACACACTGAGCATTATATGCGGTCCTTTGGATATGTCAACTGCTGCAGTTGAGGCCCCCTATACCTCGTAAATTGACAACCACTTTACTAAGGCATAAAGACTGTTGACTTATCTTAGCGAATAAGGTGAAGCAGTGTTCACTTCAGTCACCCAATCATGTGTAAGCAAACATCCTGCGTGTTTAAATTTCTCTTGCACACGATTGCATTTTCAAAGTGAACACAGCGTCACCTTATTTATTAATACCCTCTATGCTAAGTGAACAACTTCCTGTCCTTTAATAAGCCAACCCCATAGTCTCTGTTTACTGGATGACTGTATGACTGTACTGCATGTATTAGCTTATAAGCTCATTTGGTAGCAAACACTGATAACAATTGAAATGAGTCAGATAAAATAAAAAAATAAAAAAAGTCATTTGTACCAATGAGGATATGAAAGGTGTTTCCCATGAGTGTCGAGTTGACCAGGACTCCTCCTAGCTTCATCACGTTACTGTAGTAAATATCGTTTGGCCATTTCACTTTTAATTCAATATCCTGCCATGAGAAAAAAAGGGTTAAATTTAACAAAATGTACATTGAAATGCAATAGAATGTATTGTTTAGGTTATTCCCATGATACAAATATGAGATTGATCTCAGCAGATCAAACAGCAGCTTTTAAAGATTAAAAAAATCGCCCTGTAGCCTAGGACCAACATTCATAGACCTGCAGTAACCTCAGCCAATTCAGCCAACAGCACACCAAAAGTTAAACCAACATTAGCTTAACCCAATGTTAGTGTAATATGCCTGCTTCAGGTCATGTGACCAACAAATCAGAGCACCATCAAGCCCAAAGGTGCTCTGGTTCCTGGTCACATGACCTGAAGCACGCATGTTTTTTTTTTGTTCTGAATCAGCTTCCTTGTGGCAAAGTCTTCATTTACTTTCACTGAGGACTGAGGTTGATGTCACCATCTCAGTGTTCTGCCAGGACATGTGATCCAGGATGGCAGTGCAGCAGGACCTGCTATTTCCAAGTTACACTTAGGGTCTCAAGTGGACATAAACTTTGATTTTAAAGTGTACGTAAACCCCAACAATTAACTTCTCTTGCTTGTTCGCTTTTGGTCTGTTAAGTATACCATTTAAAGCCTTGGTTCTCAACTGGTGGGTCATGACCCATGACCCAAACCCCGTTTTCAGTGGGTCGCCGCAAGCCTTCCACTTTTCTAGGTGAGAGGCTTCTCTGCCTCCCCCTAGCGCAACACTGTCAGTTCTCTTGCCGAGCAGCCATTCAAAATATGCTGCCTGGCGCTGAGTGTCAGCTTGAGGTGGGGTGGGATGGAGCTATGGCCTTGAGAGAGCTCCATTCTGTTCACACTAGTACAGTGCATTAATCACATAGTACCATGCGATTAACGCACTGTACCACGCAATCGCACCTACTGGGTATTCTGGTGTAGGAGGTGTGTTGTGTTGTCATTCATTTGAATGGCACCGCAAACGCACCTCCCACCCACAGTTCGTACGCCCCTGCACCGGAAAGCACGGTACCCTAATGCCGTACATTCAATTGCATTGCGACTTGGGTCGCGACTTAATGACCAAGGACAAATGTGGGTCCTGAGGTTACACAGGTTGAGAAGCACTGATTTAAAGTGTTTTAAAAGTGTATTTTGATACTGCCAGAAGTCCAATGATCAATTAACTTCCTGTAGGGAGCCTCTGAGTCTTTTATGCCCAGTTCACCTCTCCCTAGCTTTTGCAGCACACATTCTAGGGTGACAACATTGCTCCTCCACAGATACAGTATCGTAAACGAGCATTGTCACCCTAGGAGTGTGTTAATGGCAGGACCGACAAGTTAAACTAAAGGGAAGAAAACCTGAACACAGATAACTAATGCAGCCACCACACTTAAGGCTTGGCAAGCTACAATACTTTACATTTTGGTTCTTGGATCCAGATCAACGGTAGGCAACCTTGGCAATCCAACTGTGGTGAAATTACAAGTCCCATGAGGCACTGCAAGACTGACAGCCTCAGGCATGATTCCTAGAGGCAGAGGCATGATGGGACATGTCGTTTCACCACAGCTGAAGAGCCTAGGTTTCCTTATTGGCCACGTGTCCAACTGTCTAATGTCGACTAACCAAATAAAATACATTTACAATGTAGACAACCAGCCTGAATAATAGACCATTGTTCCCCCCCCAAATCAATAAACTTCAGCTATCAAAGCTTCGAGCTGTATTGACCTTGCTAATTTGTCCCCCCACAAGTACCGGGCCAGCGAAATCAAACTGAGCTTTCTGTACCAGTGCCACGGGCAGCCTTCAAAAGCCCCTCCATCTGCTTACATTTAGCAGCCGGCCTTCTAACGTTTCACAGAAGGTCCACCATGGGTGAGACGGAGCTATGTGTCCCTCATGGCTTACAAAGATTTAAAGGAAAAATGTTTGAGGTTTGGAAACAGCGACAGGAGGCTGAGACGGTTTTGCCGGATTACAGGGAAGTGCATAAAGGTAATGGATTGAGAACGGAGTGATGTTCCAGCAAACCAGCCATCAATGGCCCTGACATTTCAACCGTCTGTCCATGAAAAGACCCTTAATCCCACCATCGCCCTGAAGACTGATGAATAGGTGCAAGTCATGCAGGATGGGAGCCGCAAGCAGAGTTGTGGAGTATATAAAAAGTCCTGGTGTAAATGCTCGGAAGTCGTTGGTTTTAGGGAATATGGGAAACATATGCCGGTGTTAAGCACTGCTGTAGAAAAGCAAAGGTTTACAGCTAGCAGTTATTAGGACGTGGGAGCAGCAGAAGAGAGAGCTACGAGGTGCTGGAAGACAGCTGACTGCCTCAATACATCCACTTAACCTTACGCTGATCAACTCCCAAACGCTACTCTACACAACTGTCCTTCTATCACACAGTGAGCTCAACTTGGATGGTTTGGGGGAAAAAATTTCTTGTCTTAAAAATGCTAAATAAAAAAATATAATAAAAACATATTACATTCATATAATACTTAAAGCTAAAGTTTTATCTGTTTATATTTTGCCTTCCCTGGTTCCTCTGTCGCTTGGCCCCGCCTCCTCAATCACCAGGCCCCACCTTCTCAATCTCCTTCACTGCCGACGTTGAGCTCAGCCCCCTCCTCCGCAGCTGCTGGCTGTCAGTGACTTAGCAGTGGCTGTGAGGAGGAAAGCGGCGCTCCATACATCACTGATAAGTTGTCAGTGATCTGAACAGCGGCGTGTTTCTTCCTCACAGCCGCCAGTGACAGCCAGCAGCCTGAGATGCCATAGCGACCCAGGTGGCTTGCACGGCAATCAGGGGGATGTCCTGGCCGGGTCCCCCTTTTCCCCCGGGCCCCTTAGTGGCCGCCTGGTCACTATGGGGATTGTTCCGCCATTGACTCCTCTTAAGAATCTTCAGCCCTGACATAAGCAGTGGGCTGACTCTTGGGAGGAGTAATATAAAGCGCTGCGTAAATTGTCAGCACTATATAGATACCTGTAATAAATAACCATGCAAATATCAAAATGGCTTGATGGGTGGATGTCTGTCTAGAGGAGTTACATACAAGCTGTCCTAGGAAATGCGCACATGTGATGCTGAGCCTTCAAGATTGAAAGAACTGAAAACCAATGAAAGGGGCAGATCAGGGACAGTCCCGCTAGGGAGGAAAAAGCTAAATGAAGCTGGACATCCTCCAGCCTAAAAAAACGAGTCAGGTTCTTTCTGACTTGCTGAAGCTTCTAATGCACATTGCGGGAAGCTCACAGTGTGCAGCAAAATCAGAGTAAGCAATTTCAGTCCAAGAGAGGAGCCGGTACAACTGTGCAAGACTTAAGGAAAGGCCGGAGCTCAGCTTTAAAGTCATTCCATACTCAATCTAAAATTAAAATAATTAGGCTTTACATACGCTTTAAGGGAAGTGGGAGAAAAATGGATCTACTGGCAGGATCAACAGGTAATAAAAGTGACAGCCTGCATTATATAGGCAATATTTTGTCTGGGCCTGTAGTTCTATTTTAAGCATTAATATAGATTTTGTATTTAATCATCTTATATATCTTTTGTATCTGTTCCGTAGCCCTGTTGGAGCCACCTTACTTCCTTGTAAGTGAACTTCCTTGGAAAACTTTAGTGGATTTGGACTTCTGAATGAGCAATGAGACCCCAGCACCTCTTGAATATTTGGATCTGCACTTCACATATTAAAGGATAATCAAACCCTCAAGCATTTTTGCATATATGTACTGCTAGCAAGCAGTACATATATGCAAAAACATTTTAAAAAAAAGGTTAAAACTTACCCGTGTCTCCACCGCACGCTCCTGTCTGAAGATCTGAAAAATCTCAGGCGGCCACAAAGGATCATGGGGCGGGCACATGCCCAGTACAGATCTTCGGCCAGGAGACGATGAGAGACACAAGGTAAGTCAATAGAGGCAGCGTGAACCCGCACAGGCTCCGTGGGACACAGACGACACAGCAGTCAGCGCTGATCAGAGACTGGCACTAGCGCTGGATGGACAGCTGAAAACGACAGGAAGGAAGAAGATGATCGGATTAAGAGGCATCATTTAAGGTAAGTCCTTACACTAGCATTGGGGGGTAGGGGGGAAGAATATCCTTTAATGTCACTTTAAGGCATTGTACACACCTCGCATCCAGGCATAGACCGCACAGCCTCCACCACGGCCAAAGCCATTAGGTGTTGTATGAAGGCAATTCTCTGTCCCAGAGGTGATGACACAGGGATGGACACAAGGAGCGTCATCATAGCACAGCCTTTGGGGCTAAGCCAGACGTTTCCACCGCGACCTGCAGGGAAAAGGCTTCATTAACAAAAACACAAGAGCTTCAATATCATCACATTAACAGGGTGAGGGAGAATCATCTACTGATCTACTATACTACCTAAAGTACTCACCCAATGTCCACACACACATACCAGCTCTATTCAAGCAATGCCTCCAAATATCAGGTCAAGGATTATAAGGTATAAGGCATCCCATGGAGGATATAATGAACACCTCAAATATTATTGCAAGCAAAATTTTGTTGCATGAAAAGCTACGCCGACGTTTGTGTTGTGTATGGAGTATGGTGGCAGGTCCTAGCAGGTATAAGGACAGATACATGTCACACTTGAAGCCTTTCATCTGGGTGAGACATCTACCCATCCTAATATGTGAGCATATACTTATTCTGACACTCCCCTGTGACCTCTCCCCCAAACCTAATTTGCCAATATCAGAAGACAAGACCTGGTGCTATTCCCTAGGAGGAACCAGGCATATCTGGCCCGACCGGGAACTAATGTAGTATATGGTCAAAAGTTTGGACACCTGACTATAAAGCCTATATGAAGTTGTTGGTCTTCCCATTCCTAAACCGCGGCCATTAATATGGAGTTTGCCCCCTTCACCTTTATGAATAATACAGCCTCCACTCTTCTGGGAAGGCTTTTGAAAAGATTTCCACAATCATTAGTTCACCAGGAAACAATTACCATGTGATTGAAATGTCATCTCCGGGCAAACAAAATAAAATACCCTTGTACGGCAAGGGTTAGGTGCTCATTTTTGAATTGTCTTGGCTGGAGTAAAACAGATTTACTTACCTGATCCCGCTCACCCAGCAGTCAGCGCTGTCGTCTTCTCCGGCCAGTGGAATGTCCCTCGGCGTCCTCATCTCTAATGCAGGCTAAGGAACCTGACATGATGAAGTCAGCGGTCTCTAGACCACCAGAGCCCAGAGGAGCAGAGGCTGTGGGGACCGGTCTAGCAGCCCGGAGGGAGCCGGTGGGAGCAGGGATCAGATAAGTAAATCTGCTTTACTTTAGTCCCCTAGAGTAGACAATGCAATGAAAGGGTACTTTGTTTTCCCGTAGATGGGCTTTAAATAAAAGCTTCAAATCTAAAAATATTTAAAATGAGTATTGTCATTCCATTAACATTAAGAATTCCTGTGATTGGGTTTCCATATAACTTATAAATTATTTGAATCACAGCATAAGCAAACTTTGGCGGGGGTGAGCTTTTGCCACAATCTGCAATATGCACTGCAAGAGTTCAATGCTCCTTAGGTCTGTGGGGTACAAGAAAAGGAGATATTACGTCTCTTATCCCCACAGGCTTTGGTGCTCTCCTCTTCTCCCTAATGCTCCAGACTCAATGAGCAGTTCACCCTTAGAGCATAGGGGTTCCACTGCAAGGTTCTTTCGTTTTCCTTTTTCTTGTGCCCAGGATTGGGCTTTAAGACTAAAGCTAGCCATATACGGCTCAATTTTCAATCTAAAATTCAATCTGTAGGTGGCCCTGCCAAAACCAACTGGCCCGAAAAACTTCGATTGACAAACTGACTGGGCAGAAAGCTGTCGGAATACAATAGCTGGAAAGTGAGATTTTTTCATTCAAGCTTTTTAGCATGGAAGAGGGGATTTCTCTTGTTCACCCTGGGGGGGGGGGGTGGGGGGGGGTCTGAATAAGGGAAAATTA